CCTATATAATATAATATATCCATCATATATATTGTATTGTGATAAAAAAAGTTTATATAAATTTATTTAAGTTATGTATTTTTGTCATGGAAACAAGTAATTTTGGCATAATTATTACACTAAAAATGAAAAAGATTATGTTTGCAGCTACATTTGTCCAGGTTTATTTATAACAATTACCGAAACCAAGACTTTTAATACTATAGTTCATGATCTGACTCACTTGGGACGAGAGGGTCCGACTTCTGTCCCAAAAACAGGTGCCATCTGGAACTGAGAACCACCATCTAGGACATTTCCATCATTCAATTCTTGTTGATTGGACTCAATATTGGCTATCGAAGTGATAATGTGGTGTAGGCCTATATATTCTTTATCTTCCTCATTCATCAGAATGGGCATTCCATGTAAAAAGTTCCCTTAGCAGTTCTGGCATAACGGCCAACGAGGAACAATTATTAATGGACATTTCATTGCATGTACATCTTTTATTGCTACAGTCTTTAGTATGTTTGCAAAAAAACAAGCCCAACATTTTTCGTGGGTTAGGTGGTTCATTGGTTAAAACTGAAAACCGATTACCTTTTTGCACTCCCAACCCCACATTTCTGAGGGTAGTTGGTTTTCCAAACAGAGTTGTCCTTGATAAAATGATACAAATGATGAAATTTTATATATTTTTTAACTGACAGCAATGTTTGAAAATCACCCACTCTTCCCTGAAACTCAAGACATCATGTCAATAGCATTTGGGGTTGTAAGAGATGAATCCGTTAACTGTTACGATGCTCTATTACGTGGTCAGTAAGTAATTAATCAAATGGTAATCATTTTCGGACAACAAGTTGTCACGGGAAAATATTGCTCTCCCTTTGTCCTCTGTGGGTTCAACCATCGATATTGCAATGATTAAAACGTTGTAGCAAAACCTTTAATTCTGTTTCAAAGGATTTGTATAAGTTAAAAAAGCTATCAAGATTTAAAGGATTGTTAACGATTTGAACTTGCTCCATTTCTCTTTATTTAATGAGAGTGGTATGAGAAAGACCAAAAAGGCTGCACTGTTCAATACTATAGCAATTCAGAAAACAGCACAAAGATGGCAGACCAAGAAAGACGCTACAGATTGAAAAAGTCAGTAGCAGTGGCGGTCCCAGCATTTAATTTCGGGGGGGGGGGGGGATAACCTTCGGAGGGTCCAACCCCCCCCCCCAAAAAAAATGTGGAAGTTAAAGCATAATTATTACGTAGTTTTATATGTATTTGAGCTCTAAAATATCTTCAAGCTAATTAGTATTTATGTTAGGTAATAAAATATTTCGGAGAGGATATATACCACCCTGACCCCCCCCCCACACCAGGGACCGCCACTGGTCAGTAAGTATTCATTTGAACAGAGACACCGAAATTATAGTAACCAGGAACAGTTAATCCCTTAACCAAGTTTTTTTGCAAACGTACTAAAGATTATAACAGTGCCACATGTGCAATTTGTGCATGCAAGAAAATGTCCAATTGTACCCCGTTATGCCAGAACTGCTAAGGGAACTTTTTACATGGAATGCCCATTCTAATGAATGAGGAAGATAAAAAATATATAGGCCTACACCGCATTATTACTTCGATAGACTAATCAACAAGAATTGAATGATGGAAATGTCCTAGATGGTGGTTCTCAGTTCCAGATGGCACCTGTTTTTGGGACAGAAGTCGGACCCTCTCGTCCCAAGTGAGTCAGATCATGAACAATAGTATTAAAAGTCTTGGTTTCGGTAATTGTTATAAATAAACCTGGACAAATGTAGCTGCAAACATAATCTTTTTCATTTTTAGTGTAATAATTATGCCAAAATTACTTGTTTCCATGACAATAATACATAACTTAAATAAATTTATATAAACTATTTTTAACACAATATATACGATGGATATATTATATTATATAGGTTAGTGCTCCAAAACCTGTTTTCTATCCTTACTAATGTAAAACAACAGCAGGCTAATCGATTATATGAATTTATTTGGAAAAAAACGACTGAAAAATCAATTTAGAAAATAATTTTTATATTATTTTGAGAATATCTTTAAAACTATTGCATATACATAAGAAATGAATAACCATTCTTGTAGAGAATTTTATCATCTTTCTTTTTATAATTTACATTTTTTCCGTACGACGCACGGTTTTTAGCTTAGAAGTAAAAAACTAAAAAATGGGGTCTTGCCCCCCCTCCCACCGCTGAAGCAGCAGCCAGGGGTGGGGACTTTTGGTATTTTTATCTTCTAACCACCCCGAACACATTCCCGCAGAAAAAAAATGTCCCCCTCTCCATGTCCTCTACACCCCTCTTTTGAGCATTCATTGACTGGACTGTAGTGTACCTATTAGTGTGAAAATAGAAATGGTTATGTGTTAAGTTGTTTTATTAAGGAATTTTGGCAACCATGAAAAGAAATTTGAATTGATTAGTGGATTGTGTAATAAATTCATTTGAGGACAACCCAATTTCTATTGGTTTATGAAACGTAGGTAACTGGGATTTAAGCAAATTACCGATCCTCAATACTTCTGTAATTTGGATTTGATTCAAGAATCTTCCGTGAGCCCAGCAAAATCATGATCATCTGCTGCATCCTTAGTACTGTAACTTCATAATGATCGCCCCCACAATCAATTTAACACGGTGGTCAACTCTTGTGATCATGGCGACATAGTGATTGTCTCCCCCAATCCCAGCAAAATCATGGAATTTTGATCTTGCAAACTTTGCAAATGGCTTGTATGAACACAAATAATCAACAAATTACATGTGCAGTAGACTCTCGCTAATCAGGAGCGTTTTGGACTTTGGCAGTGCTTGTTATTTCAAAATACCCCTTAAACGTCTTCTAAAAACAGCCGTTACTGCGAGACTAGCAAAATTAACAGAATGTTTAAAGGTAATTGTTGGGTAGCAATGCTGGTTTATTGTGTTTTGTCTTTTTAGCGAATTTCCTATTTAGGGAATAAGCTATTACCGTAATACTCATGGTAAGACCTAGACCCCGGACCGATTTACTTTTTTGTTTTGAGGTCCCTAGAGGCCAAAAACACCATACGTTAAAATTCATATTATATATATTTATATATATATATATTATATATATAAATATATATATATATGTGTCCGTTAGCACGATAACTTGAGCAAAAATGATCCGATTTTGATGAAATTTGGTATAAACGTGTAAACGTAAACCTACATTTATTCAAACGAGTTCGCAAACCAGCATGATCGGACTACATGAACGGAGGTTTATGGGTCGTTTTGTGGGATAAAAATTGGTTTTTCCCATTTTTGACCCTAAAAAACACAAAATTTAACAATTTCTTTCCAAACCATTTTGTAAAGCTTAAAAAAAAATAAATAATTTAGTATATTAAAGCGTTATTGTGCGCCTAATGTTTACGGAGAAAATTCCAAAAAAATTTTTAATTTGCATGTTATTCTTAAGCAAACCTAAGTACACCTAAGTTAAACTAATTCTATTTAATAGGGAATAAATGTGATATTTTTAAGGAGGCATTTTAGTGTAAATCCAATCAGACTAATGGAAATTCGCTTGGTCTGCAGGTTTGCTGCAGGGGGGGGGGGTGTATTAAATTATATTTATTTGTAAATATTGTAGTTCAAAAAGTCTAATATCGACCCACTTAAAACCCTCTGGGGCGAAGCCCTTTTGATGGTTTAGCACAAAACTTCAAACAAACCATCCTTGAAAAATGCTTAATAATGCCTGGAAGTTTCATTACAATCTGGTGAGCGGTTTTGGAGTCCATAACGTACATACATATATATATATATATATATATATATACATACATACATAGTTCCTCTTTTATAGATATAGATATGTGTCCGTTAGCGCGATAACTCAAGAAAAAATTATCCGATTTTGATGAAATTTGGTACAAACGAGTATACCTACGTTTATTCGAACGAGTTCATTAACTAGCATGATCAGACTATGGAAACAGGAGTTTATGGGAGGTTTTATCGGGTAAAAATAGGTTTTTCTCATTTTTGACCCTAAAAACATCAAATTTAGCAACTTCTTTCCAAACCATTTTCCAAACCACCAGAAAATTCCAAAAAATTTTAAATTTAAAATTCCCATGTTATTCTTATGGAGAAAATTTGTAAACTGTTGTAGTTTGCTTGTTTATGAGCATATTTTGATCAAATTTGGAAAATGCATTAATTTCATACTAAACTATTAACATAAAAAAAAAAACACCCTTTTACCCTCCCTGTTGCAGCAAACCTAAGTACTCGTTAAACTAATGCTATTTAAATAGGGAATAAATGTGATATTTTTAAGTAGATATTTTAGTGTAAATCCAATCAGGCTAATGGAAATTCGCTTAGTCTGCAGGTTTACTGCAGCGGGGGTAATTAGTAGTAGTGACATAAAATGCTGACATAAAACATCAATAAATTGCATCGAGTGCAACCAACTTCTACTGTTCACTGCTGTTGTCTCCCGATCAAACTTGATGTCTTCTGATCGCTCCCGTCGTCTGCCGATCTCTCCTGGCATTTGCTGATCACACAAATGAATGAATGAATGATATTTATGATTATGACCAAGTCCATTTATTAATGTTTTAGAACTTAATAAATCTTCTCAGTTAATTTTATTCACTGAGTATCTTGACACTGTCTGCAATTAGAATCACATCTTATCTGGCCGGCAGTTGTTGACTGCATGCAAAGATATTACTATGCTCGATTCAAGTCAAAATTTTCTGTGATGCAGCTGAAAGTTGGCTTTTATTTGGTCCTTATTATGTCCCAAATATATGTCATTATGACAGTGATAAACAGGACCCTGTGTGTTGGCTAGAAATTGTTTGACCAATAGCCTACAGTTTATAGAAAATAGCTTTTTAAAGTAAAATAGTAGAATAGACAATAGTAAAAATAATGGTATTTTATAGATTGATTGTTGCTTTGCAGGACGGATGTTGCGTATTACGATGGTCTCAGTGAAACAATAGTAAGTGTTGGACTTGTCAAGCCCAAGCCTGGTGTGTTCCACAACTTTATCCGACACTTGTTAGTGTTGACCACCACAGCTGACATAATTGTGTTGGGAGTTTCTCTTATGTCTGTCCAAGGTAATACCATACGAAGTGTTAACTACTATCTTCTAATAAATAGTATAAAATATCAATATTCTAGTGTTACTGAGTTTTCAACCAGTTGTCGGCAGCGTTTCTAGCATTTTAACCCCATTCTTGTGTTCATGCTATTAAGATTATTGTAATACTTAACCAATATTATTGTACCTAATCAATAATTTAAAATAAAGTAAGAACTAGGGATTTGTCAAATGTGAATCTCGGGTTCACTGACAGAATACGCCGACTCGTCGCCAGCTCTACAATAATCTGTAGCATAGCTGTAACAAATCTACGCATAGCTGTAACAAAGCCAAACTCAGTCTCAAAACTCAAGGCCATAGCTTAAATTACGTCCTAGTAAAAAAAAAAAACAAAAAACAAACAGAATGTCGTAACATTTGTGCGCCTAAGTATTCATTGGCCCAAATATTTACCATTAAAAAACTTCTAAACTTAATTAGTCTTCGCCCTAACAGTTGTCTTTAAAAAAACTCAATGATGTCGTAAGTTTGGCAGGAAGCCGGGTCCAAAAGCTCGTCCAGGCTGATCGCGACTTTATCGTTGTGTACCCCTTACGGTGTGTGTTGTGTACGCGCGCGCGTTTTTGTAGGTCTGTTGCCATGTCAACCGCTACGAGGACGTAGTTCAAACATGAACCAGTAGAGAGCGGCACAGATCAGTGGCAATATTTAAAAATATTATCCAACGATCGTTTCAGTTAGTGATCTTTGGTGTTCTATTATCTTTGATAATATGCAATTAAAGGTAGTATGTAGCTACTATACTTTAAACCAGTGTGTGTGTGTGTGTGTGTGTGAATGGACCACTAATGGACTCACTTCAAGGCTTTTCAAATCGACACAATTGCTGTTTTATTGTAAAATTATCGGTTTTCAAATGCATATCGTATAGGCCTATAATCGGATGAAAGATATAGGTTGTCACGTGATATTAGTTTACATGATGATTTTAACTATTAAAACTGACAGAATTTTTCTTTATGCAAGTAAAATAGATTTTCTGAATTATATTCAGTATTAATCGACTACTATATTCCCGTACGTAGGACGGGCCTACAGCTAGTTGCATATAAGAACAAAGAATTATTTCAAAATTAAGAAACAAACTGATGAAGCCATTTGAAATGAGAGATCTAGATAAGTTGAACCATTACTTAGGAATCTTGAAGAAAAAGAAGGAAAACTGATAGCAAATCAATCAAAATACATTGGTGATGTCTTAAAGAAGTTTTATATATGTAAGCCAATTGGATCTCACATGGATCCTAAATAGCCCAGGCAAATGAGACATATGCTCCCCAAAAAATCGTCTAAAGCTGGAAAGTGTTTTAATACCTCTTGGGGGTCCCAAATAAGACTCCTGTGAGTTTGCGACAGATTCTGACGTCTGCTTAAGTTTTGGGAGTCGAAAAACTATGAAAATTTTGCACATTTTTTAGTTTTTCGCTTATAACTCCTAAATAACGAATCCTAAGGAAAATGTTGTTCAAAGGTGTCTTTTAGTGCATTAAATTCCGCGTCGATTGATGTTAAATACGTCAAAATCGGCCGAGCCGTTTAGCCGCTGTACCTTTTCAAAGTTGGGATATTTTCATCAACATGGCCAAAAGGTTGATTATTTGACCAGTTTTCGACTTACAACTCCTAAACAACACATGCTATACAAAAATGCACCTGTAGTTAGTTTGGAAAACACAAAATTCGGCGTAGAATTATGATTACGAATGACTAGATAGTGATTTATTTCATGGCTGTCATCCAGAGGTTTATCCAAGAATGTGTGAAGGGAAGGGTAGCAAGAGCTCCTATGCAATTTTAAATCTAATATTGTTATCTGGGGTTACAAAAATTCTAGGATTCGTCCTAAGCTCCCATTAATACAATCCCATCTCTGGACACTCCCAAATGATGTTAAGCGATTCTAAATATATAATAAGATATTACAACGAGAAAGATTTGATTAAATATAGCAAAAATGTTATTTTTTAGCTTAATTAACGAAAGATGATAATGGGACGGATGTACATAGTTTTACTATGTATTTAGCCTATTAAAAAAAAAAAACTATTGGGATTTTTCGTAGATTTTACTATATAACTTTTCTACTTCTCATCATTGGAATCTGAAGAATAAAGATTCATTCTTTGCTCTTATTGGTCTTGCCACAAATGGTGACATTCGGTACCATCTTTTTCGTCAGATATCGAATTGAGATAATCGTGCCCCTTTCAAGTCTTTCAGACAGTAGTGATTTATATCCCTGCATTTCATATGGAGCGAGATAATGTAAAACTTTTTTAACATGTACACGATGGTCGAGATAGGTAGACGGAGTTCATAAGTTCTTGTCAAAACGGTGGATTAGCCGTAGTGATGGGAGTTAACCCATTGGCGTTAATTTTCCATACATATCTCTCTGAATTAAGTACAATTTTAAATGAGCTCTAAAGGATTGGTGGATGAGCAGCCCCTTTTGTTAGAATCAAAGTCAAAATTAGTTGAAAGTGTCTTCTAGAAGAGACTCACTTGATTTGGATATTTTCTGCTCCCAAGCATGTATAGGGCCAACCTGCTTCTGCAACTTCGCCAAGCGTTGTAACCCGTCAGAACACAGTGAGATCCACATTGATTGGAGTAAACAGCATGAGTAGTTTTAGACTACATGAATGTTTGATGTTAGATTTTCGACTCTTTTACATCACGCTTTCTTCATCAAACTGCGCTAGTGGGTACGGACCTATTTTTAATCCAAAGTATGATTCAAATTGAGGCTTGGATTTAATTTGGAATATCACGTGTTGACTGACGGGGCATATTCTTCTTTAATCTTTGCTGTTGCCATCACAGCTCGCGATTAATGCCACCACTTCCTTTTATTCTGCACAGTTTATGGTCATTATAGGCCTGCCTATTTGCGATTTTCTTGCAAGCTGTGCCTTTCCATTATGCTTTATACATATCTCGCGTTGATGCTATCATATGGGATAACTGCTGAGCTGATTGACATGAGCGAACTATTTTCAGTAAATGGGTCGTGACACTGGAACCATTTGATGAATTTCTTTTTGATCCCACCGTATCCGTGGAGTTTATATTGTCAACTTGCTGATAATATGTTGAAGAGGTGATCCCACAATATCCCTTAACTTGATGGGTAGCATTCACTGCGATGGGCCTGCCAGCGAACCATCGGTCTAGATCCACATCATTGATTCCCCTATCTCGGAAAAGCCTCCACAGTAAGATGTTGCTCTCATGGGCACTTACTTGTTCATAGGCCATGCTGCAGGATCCATGACGTCACACTAGTGGATAGAATCACTGCCATATCCCCTATGTTTTTGGTAATTAGGCTGGTTGTTTGCCAGATTTCAATGGTAAGATTTTAAACTTGACAAGCATCTGATCTAGTGTTAACAATCAATAGCGGTTAAATGGTGAAGCCGATCTTAATGAATTGGAAAACATTCTACGCAGACGTTTATGCTCTTCAAACTAACTACAGGAACATTTTTTCTATAGCATGCGTTAGAAGATGTAAGCCAAAAACTGAAAGATGAATGCAGGGATAGATCGTATATAATGGGTGGTTGGGATGGTGGCTGTGGATGAATCCTAGAATTTTCGGAACCTCAGACAACAATATTAGACTAAAAATTACATAGGAGGCCTTACTCTCATCACACCTTATTAGATAAACCTCTGGATGACCATCATGGAATAAACCACTATCTAATAATTCATAATCCATTTAAAAGACAGGATCTATGTTGTTACCAATTTTAGTAAAATTTACCAACTTTAACATTAATACTTTTTTCAATGAAATGGCGAACATACAAAGTAGGTAACAATCAATTGCCGTTATTGATTAATAAAAAAAACATTATTTGTAGAATTGTGTGTTTTCCAAACTAACTACAGGTGCATTTTTGTATAGCATGCGTCGTTTAGGAGTTTTAAGCCGAAAACTGGTCAAATAATCAACCTTTTGGCCATGTTAATGAAAATATCCCAACTTTGAAAAGATACAGCAGCTAAAAGGCTCGGCCGATTTTGACGTATTTAACACCAATCGACGCGGAATTTAATGCACTAAAAGACACCTCTGAACAACATTTTCCTTAGGATTCGTTATTTAGGAGTTATAAGCGAAAAACTGAAAAAAGTGTGAAATTTTCATAGTTTTTCGACTCCCAAAACTCAAGCAGACGTCAGAATCCGTCGCAAACTCACAGGAGTCTTATTTGGGACCCCCAAAAGGTATTAAAACACTTTCCAGCTTTAGACAATTTTTTGGGGAGCACACCCTATATTTGATCTAATTTGCCTGGACTAAAAGTTAAACTAAATGAACCAAAACTACGTGAAACCATCAACAAGCCTTATCAAAGTCTTACAGGAAGTCTGATGTTTTTAGCAGTTGCATCGAGACCCGACATAGCATATAGCGTCAGTAATAGCACAACAAGGCCGGAAACGATTATATTGTTGCGTTGTTGTTCCTTGTTTACTTTTTCAGATTTCTTATCAAATGCCTCCCCCTCTAACGATGTACTGAGTATAAAATTGTTTTTAACAGATTGTTGTTGACGACTTTTCTACTTTAAGTTTCCCTGCAACTATTTTAGTTCAATCCCACACCTTTCCTTATGGTCCCCTTTCTATTGTTTTTCAAAATCAATAGTTCAACTGTTTTGCATTTTATTTCCTTTAATCAAACCCTCTTTACCCATTGTCTATTGTGTATTCTTATTGTGTTTATAAAAATTAAATGGCCACACAGTTTTGTATTTTATTTTGTTTAAAGTAGTAGTTACGGTACTTTGATGTTTGTATACAGGGTGGAAAAGAAGTCCCGGGACGGTTAAATATTTCAAAAAGTAATAAAGACCGTGGACTATGACTGGAGTTGAAATAATGTATAATACTATGTATGCAATATTTATAAAAATAAGTGTTTGATTGACAATTTAACCTAGTTTAGACTTGCAGGAGTGAAAAACGTGGTTTCGGTGTGTAAAATACAGGAAATATACAGAAATATTTTTAGTCTGATTTTGTGGACACCCTGTACAACAAATCTCTTATTTATTGTTTATTTATAAGATTAAATAGAGTTACTTTCTAAACAAACAACACACTTTTATTGTAATAACATTCATACTAGCTTGTCTTACACCTAAGCTAAAATCTTTGTTTATATTATGTAAAACATGTGAATAAAATCACTGTTTATTAGAGTGATCAATAGCAATCAAGACAAGTTGCTATGTTTCCAGGAACAGGGGGTCTTCAGACAGAAATAAACCTTACGCCAGAAATCATTTATACCTTACCAACTGATGGAGTACCCATGACAGTCATCAGTGGTTCTGCCTTAGGGCGCATCTTCTTGGGGGGTAAAGATGGCAGCCTTTATGAGATATGTTATCAGGTAAGCACTAAAATCTTATCAGTATTGCAAGGTACTAACAGTCATCTCTACCATGTCATGCCACCATGTCTAAAGTTGTAGAATACTTAGAAATTTACATAACTGTCTAAGTTTCGAACATAGCTCCTTACACAGAAAGTGACCCAAATAATCAACACAAAATGAATCAATTTAATGTAATTTCTATTCGTATTAAGTAAAGAAATGCTCATCTCAAATATCAAGTTTAGTTCAAAGTTATAACAACAACAAAAATTAGCCTTGAAATATTATTGATATTGCGTACGGTAATATGTTAGTGTCAAAAACACTCAAAATATTCTTAGGCCTGTTTATTGAAAATATTGTATATGATTAAATAAAATCTACTATAATGATATATTCCAAACATACAGTTTTACTTATTCCAGAAAGAGATTGGATGGACAGGAAAAAGGTGTAAAAAAGTGAACCATTCTACAACAACACTCTCGTTCCTTGTGCCTTCTTTTCTCAATGCTGCATTCTGTGAAGATGATGCAATTGCACAGATCTCAATAGACAACAGCCGCTACATTCTGTACACTCTGTCAGAGAAGGGCACTGTGTCGGTGTTTGACCTCGGAGACAACGGGATGTCCACAGGGAGACTGGTCAGTCTGTCTCAGTCTGCTATCATGCAAGCAGCTCTCAGTATTGCAAGGTACTAACAGTCATCTCTACCAAGTGTTAACACATAAACCCAAATTAAATTCAGTAGGCCTGTGAGACTTAACATAGCAAAAATGTGATATTTCTGCTCTTTTTGTTAGTCATAGTCATTGTTATGTAAATAATAAAAAAAAGACTAAATCAAGTTTAATTTAAGCGCAGCCTATTTTGGCATACATTCATAATAAACCAAAGACTCTTTGCTAGTTATTCCTTTCTTCCAAGTTGGCAATCCTGCCATTGACGTAGTAATACCCACTCCTCGTTCCTCTTATCTAGTTTCTTGTCAACTTGCATTCTGATACCGCTTATCACGCACCAGTTTGTGCCTTGAACTTTCTCTACACCGTAATCGGATTTAAATTAAATAAATACCGAGTCGCGCCTGCGGGAATCTCTTTGTGTCTGTGGACGACGTTATCAACTACTTGATAACAAACTGCGTTTGATGATGATCTGCGCTGAATCAAGGGGCCCCTGAGAACTCTGCACTCTACACTCCAGGCCGCCAACCACGCTTTGTACAGTGAAGAAAGGATCGGTCATGAGTGTTACTTCCATTTTACTATTAGATAAGTGTAATATTTTAAAAGAACAAGATAAAATCTAGTGCATTCAATTTATTATCCATTTCATTCACAACTAAATTATTATTATTATTTAAACAAACTTAACAATCATAACAAAACCAAAGTCTTCAACATCTGGAATACATAGTCCAGTAAATCTGTCAGAAAATATGGGGTTGCTGTGCAAAAGGTCGGGTAGTTCTGATTTTTGGATATGTTGTTAGTATTGGGCCTATAACATAAAATCCAAGTTATCCACCTCGAGATACTGCCGCTCGCCGCGGGGCGCGCCACTTGTTATTGAAATATAAAAAATATGGCAATTCCTATTGTTTTTCACTCAATCTCGCGAACCGTTGATTTTACCGAAAATTTTATATTATTACATTAAAGAAGAATAAATTTGTGACAGTTTAAGCCCAACAGCAAGTATGTAGCGTAAATAATGGTCAAACTACAGACCATCAAAATAAACCAATTTTCCAAAGACGTATAAAAATTGTGGTTTTTTTTCAATATTTCCACAATATAGTTGTTTGAAGCAAACACCGTATAGATTTAGAGAGTATGCCAGTTTATTTGCTATTACTAGAAAATAAATGAAAGTATGAATGAAAATACCCCCACCTCAGCAAACCTGCAGAATAAGCAAATTTCATTTGCTTGATTTGATTTTCACAAACCTATTTAAATAACATTAGGTTTAACTGGTACCTAGGTTTGCTGCTACAGGGAGGGTAATATAGTATATAAAATAATAATAGTATGTTAAGAAACAAATAAATTTACCCAACTTTATAAAAATGTTTCTATAAATAAGGAAAAAACAATAATTAAAAATCTTCGCTATTGGAATAACTTGAGGTTTTTTAATTTTAATTTTCTCTGCAACCAATTGTAAAAAACATTTTAATGTACTAAATTATTTGTTTTTAAGCTCTACAAAATTCTTTAATGATACAATTTTAAAATTGTATGTTTTGAGGGTTCAAAATGAAAAAAAATATTCTTAGCGGCAAAATACCTACAAGGCAACCGTTCCTATGGCCTTATCATGCCGATCATGCTTCGCGATCTCGTTTTAATAAATAAATGTACGTTTACATGATTTTGATTCAATGATTTATTAGGCCACTAAGCCATTAGGCCATTAAGCCATAATATAAAATTTTTGGTAAAAATCAACGGTTCGCGAGATTGAGTGAAAAACAATAGGAATTGCCAAATTTTTTATTTTTCGATAACAAGTGGCGCGCCCCGCGGCGAGCAGCAGTATCTCGAGGTGGATAACTTGGATTTTATGTTATGGGCCCAATACTAACAACTAGGGGTCTGCGGTACAGAAAATTTAAGGTCGGTACGGTTCGGTACGGTACAATATTTTGTACCTCGGTTCTCGGTACAAAATCTGTACAGTATGCGACTACCCGTATTTTAGCGGTTTTCTGCTCAGATCTGTATTTAAACCATTATTTTTAACTTTAATACATTGACATTACTATGAAAATTGATTGGGGAGCGAGCTGGCGTAGCGGTTAGAGCGCGGGACTTCAGTCCCTGAGGTCCCGGGTTCGATCTTCACCAAGTCACCATTGGATTTTATCTAAGTGTGATAATGCCGCAACCCCTAGGTCTAGCCTGAAGTAATGTGAAAAACAATCCCAGACTCGTGCTTAGCAAAAAAAAAAAAAAAAAAAAACTATGAAAATTGATAGTATCCTACATTTACGGTTTTCTAGCAACAATTACTGTACCACAAATTATTAAAACAAAACCTTTTACTAATACGAGGATTGTGTCAAGAAACATCACAGTTTAGATAAAGGCTTTACCTATTTTACTCTGAGAGACTTTGAATAGCCATGATAAAAGTGAATAGGATAAGAGTTTTTAGGAATAAACATGTTTGAAATATTTATTGACAAGATGATTTCACACAACTGGTAAATTATTTCCAACCAACACAATGTCTAGTTGTTTTTTTATTTTTAAAAACATATAAAAGCATTCAGTATGATGACAGTGTAGTTGCCAGTTGTTCACAGCAGACCAAAATGAAAAACTGGAGGTTATGATGAAGTAATGGCAAAGAGCATTTTTTTTATCAGCTTCAAAACTAGTTATAAGATGGATAACTCTTGCCAAGTTTTTTTCTGAAACTAAAATTTGGACTATCAGAGAGTAAGATTATTGTCTTTTCATTTACAAAGTTAACATCCACAATATCAATCATTAGTTTAATCCAATTTTGTTAGTATATTTTAAAGCTCTTCCAAAGAATCAAAAGACCCAGGCCTAGACCTAATTATTTAGGAGGGCCTACATGTATATATAAATTGATTAGGTTACAATGAGTGTAGAAAAATCACTATCTAGTTCATAAGATTTAGATTGCATAAAGTACCTTCAACACCATAAAAAATACAGGAAACTAAAAAACATTTAAGCCTTAAACATCCACATCTAACAATATAAGACAACAATGTTTACAGAACAAGCAATGAGACCGTGCAATTTGAGACCGAGTAGGCTTGAATAACAAAAATAAAAATATACAAATAACAACAACTATGCTTGTGGTTTCATCAATAGAAAGATAAAATATCTATAACAAATATTTTATCTTAAAAAATAAGATTGTAGATTAGTTACAAGTTTAATATGTAGCCATAAACAGTTTTATGGCAGTAGGCAATGGCCAGCGGCAAATTGAATATTCACGAAAATACTGACTGAGTTAGAGATAACATTTAACAGTCATCATAAAACTATTATTTTTATGATAAAATAGAATTGGGGAAATTCGTAAAGAAATAAAAGTGATAAAACTCAACCGTTCTTGGAAGTACTTGAATACAACAATTATTGTCGTGATAAAATGTTAATGGATTTGGGACTGCTAATGGGTTTTTATTGCATCATCACCCTAATAATAAATTATGAAGATCGTAAACAAACATCACTGATAAGACTTTTATGTGCTCGGAACCAACTGTCGTTGACTACACGATAGTAAACTGAAAGTAATTTATTATTATAATAGGCTGTACCGAACCAAATTTGTACCGTGTAAAATGCTGTACCGAACCGATGACGGTAATTAAGCTTGTACCGTACCGTACCGACTTTTTCGGTGCACCGCAGACCCCTACTAACAACATATCCAAAAATCAGAACTACCGGTATCCGACCTTTTGCATACCAAAATGTCTTATTTTACTGGACTATACAATCAACATTATAAAATCAAATGTTGCTTCTTGCACAATTAATATAAACATATATTACACTCGCCAACACTTAACTTGCTTGATTCATGACATTTTAAAACGTTAAAAAATCATTGACTCATAACATTTTAAAACTTTAAAAATTCTTCTGAATCTTTGGCTTCTCCAACTTTATAGATCCAATTTCTTCGGCTTGTGTCCTTTGTGATCTCCTCAAAACTGGGATGGACTGTATTGCGCACCCGGTAGTTTCTTAACATCAGACTTCAATCCAGGCAAATAAGGTGGATGATGATTTCTTGATATTGATGGTGATGTAGACTCCTGAAGAATAGGCAACACTCTTTTGAAAGTATGACTACTTTTCTCTTCTTGTTGATGTGCCTCAATAGTTCTTCCGACTTCCTCTTTCGGCAAGATGATTTCGTCCTCCTCTACCTCAGATTGCCTAAAATGGTCTCCTGCATGGCAGACTCCTTTCTTGCCAAGAACACTAACCAAATAGGTAACTGGACTTTTACACTGTTAGTAATATACGACCTGGGACCCAACTAATTGTCTCCTGTCTGACAGTTTTAACCAACACCTTTTGAGTTTCATGAAGAATTCTACAAGCACCTCTATGCCTATCTGAGGCTCGTTTCTGAATTTCCTGCTTCTTCCTTGACTCGTCTAGTAGATTAGGTTTTAACATAGTCAATTTTGTTCTTCCAACGTAAGACCAGCTCAGCCGGGCTCACACCGGTTACGATAGGTGAAGAGGAAGTTATCCAATTTATACTACAATGATGTCTGCTGATAAGATTTTTCACTCAAAACTTGCCTTAACAAACTTTTCTTAACTTCTTGAACAGAACGCTCGGCTGATCCATTGGAGTCAGGGTGATATGGTGGAGAAAATGTTAGTTTCACACCATTTTTCCCTGAACTCTAGGCTGGTAAAAGACGTACCGTTATCACACGCCGACTCCTCAGGTAAACCATAAGCAGAAAACAGTGTACGGAGTTTCTCAATGGTCTTCCCCGTGGAAATAGAACGCATAAAAAATACTTCCATCCACTTTGAAAAACTATCCACCACAATAAACATTTGCTGTTTGGTGGTTGGATCTTCAGCAAAATCAATATGAATTCGGTGCCATCTCTTGGAAGTTAACGGCCATTGTTGCAATGGAACTTTTGACGCAGCATTT